TCCACTTCACTTGCGCAGGGCACGGCATTTCCCCCCTCCCCTGCCCCGCCGCATTTTCCGCCCGAAACGCCGAGGCGCGCCGCCCCCATTGGCTGGTCGCCAGCGCCCCGCACCGCGCCTGCTTCGAGGCACCCGCTGCCCCGCCCCGCACGCCACCCACACGCACCCGCTGCTTTGCATCCCGCCTGGCACCTCTCTGCCACGCATGCAAAGCAGCGGTGCGGTGTGCCCCCGCCGGCGCCGGTCCCGCCCGCTTGCATCGCCAGTGACGCAGCAGGCGCACACACACTCTGGATTTGTCCCCCATTTGTCCCCAGGCCATGTGCCCTTTTTTGCAGTAGTAGCACACAGCCCGCATGCGGCACTCAGACTAGGCAGATACCGTGTACATAGACCTTTGTTCGCTCGCTCCCAATCACCCCCTATACAGCCCTAGGACCCTTGACGTTTTAGGTTGGTGTATAGGCTGATGCCCCCGCACTGTACCACTGCCAGTCGGTGCCCCACCGGTGCCGCACATGTAAAGATAGGTGCCACGTGCACAGCTGCAGCCAAGGGAGGCTTGGGGAGCCCTGAAGGCTCCTGGCTGGGGGAGAGAATGGCGGCGCTGGGGCAGTCACAGAGCAGCCCAGGTACCACCAATTTACAGAACGCAGCTGCTGCCGAGCGTGGAGGGCTCACCGCTCCGTAATGCTCTCCTCTATCGCCACCCCTGTGTGCCGCGCGCCTGCCTGGCGCAGCACCAGCAGCTGCTCGCCCGCCGCCAGCTCAGACACCGACACCGCCCGCCAGCTGGGCTCCCGCTCCTGGGGCGCATCCGGCGTGCTGTGGCTGCTCCTTGAATCGCCGCTGGGGCCGGCGTTTGGCGCCACCAGCCGCACCGTCTCTGCATTCTGCAGCAGCACGGAGCAGCGGTCGCCATCCGCCAGCTCAGCCTCCACCAGCACCTGCGCCAGGTGGCAGCAGAGGGTGCATGTGCATGGGTGAAGAGGCAGGCAGGGATGCTGGCAGGCAGGGAGAGCGGCAGACAACCGGGGGAGCAGCTGCACGCCTGCGCCGCAGCACAGCACAACGCCAACTGATTGACGCAAGAGCTTGGCACCTTCCATCTGGTGGCTCAATGCAGGCGGGTCCCCCGTGCATGTCCCCGTCCACCCATCCAGTCACCCACATCACAGCGCAGCACAGCACAGCACAGCACAGCACACGCCCTCACCAGCGGCCGCTGCTCGATCTTGACGCGCCCCACCAGCGCGGTGCGGGTGCGCCCGTGCGCGTCTGCCACCAGCACCTCGGCACCCGAGGACAGCTCGCTCAGGTATCCGGTGCGCCCGCCCGGCAGCTGCAGGTAGGAGTGGACCTGCGGTCCAGGCAGAGTTCACAATCCAGGCGGGAGCACAGCGGGCATGTGCTTGAGTGGTTGGGTGCTCACTAAGTGGGGAACGAAGGCAGCTCGGGGAGGGGGCGTTTGCCGGCAAGGCAGACCCGGGGTGGGGGCAGGTATGGTGCTGCACACACTCTCTGCCGCCGCCCAGCCTCACCGGCCCGGCATTGACCCTGAAGGGCCGGGAGGCGATGTACTTGCTCTCGGCGCACTCGCTGTGCACCAGGAACATGGCCCGCGCAAAGCTGCCCACCAGCATGCCCTCCCCTGGCTGCAGCAGGCTGCGGGCAGAGGGCGGGGTGGGGGCGCGGGTGGCGGGAGGTGCTCGGGTAGGCAGGCAGAGCAACAGAACCGGGGTGGCATGCAGGGAGCTCAGCAGACAGCAAGGCAGAGGAGAGGACGAGGCTGAGTGAGGGGGAGGCGGCGGGGCACCCCCTCCAGCACCCACTCACCAGCACAGGTCGACGCAGGCTCGGTCGCCCATGCCCACCGGCCGTACCGCCGTCACCGTGGCCGCCTCGTACCGCAGCCGCTGCGCCCCCTGCTGCCGCCGCTCCTGCAGATACCGCGCCAATGCCCGCACCTGCACCGCAGGTGCACGTACCGCCAGCATGAGGCAGAGGCGGCAGCAGCTGGCCTCCCGGTGCGGCCAGGGGGAGCGGCGCTGCCGCAGGAAGCGAGCGGCAGCGGCTGCGCGGCCTGGGAGCCCCCGCACCTCTGCCGGGCTGTCTGTGCGCAGCAGCACGCCGTCGGTGCCCGCCTCCAGTGCCTCCAGCATCACCCGGCTGGCTGCGCAGTCGGGGGCGGCCGCCAGCAGCGTGGCGCCGCTGTTGCGCTGGTACGCGGCCACCAAGTTCTCTGCGGGGATGATCTGCAGGCCAGGCGTGCGGGGCAGGAGGGGAGAGGGGCAGGCAAGAGGCCAGCGTGAAGGGCAGGGAGGGGCATGCATGCAAAGGGGATGTATGCAGCACAGGCCGCCGCCTCAGCCACCCACTCGATCCAGCCGGCGCCCGGCGCCCACCTGCCAGTCGCTGGCATCCATCACCACCACGCCCTCTGCTGCCGCCGCCTCCCGCTCCGCGGCGCGCAGGTCGTCGGGGGATGCCAGCAGGCGCACCCGCCCCACCTGCAACCGCCAGGGGTGACGCCCGCGCAGGCAGGGCCCGCCGACTCTTGCACACCGCTCAGCGAGTCGAGCCCCATCCAGCCCAGCAGGCTGGTTTGCGGGAAAACAGAGCTGTGGCTGCCCCAGTTTCGTCTCACCTGGGATCCCGCTGCATCCAGCAGGCGCCCGTCAGAGGTGCGCGTGATGGCCTCAAACCTTCCCAGCTGCTGCCACTCCTTGGCCAGAGCAGCCTGTCCCTCCTCAAACACCATCGTGGAGACACCCGCCTCCAGCGCCGCCATCAGCGCATTCTGCAAGGCGGCGGCGGCGGCGACACAGCACGGCTAGTGCAGCTCCGACGGTCGGTGCAGGTCCGGCAGTGTGTTGCTGGAACGAAAGATACGTCCAGAGGGACAGGTCCACACCTGGCTGCTGGTCGAGAGCCAGACGAGCTTGCCGCCGCCGCCAGCGGCGGAGGCAGGGGCTGCTGCTGCAGAGGCCAGTGCTGCGCGGGTGACGAGCCGAGAACCCAGAAGCGTTCGCGCTTGTGATGCTTGAAAGGGGCTTGCTGGCGCGCGGGAGAGCCCCATGCGCGAGATGGAATGAATGTGTGGAGAGCCGGGGCAAGCTGAAACTCAGAGTCGTGCACAACACCGAACCATTGTGCAAGTTGATGTTGCCGCCGTGGTGGATCATGGGCGCCCAAGCCAATGGTGACAGCCTGGCGGTCGTCGCCGCTCATGCATGCTCTACAGCGGGCTTACAGTGGTTTGGAATAAGGCAGCAGGAAGAGGGTTGTCGATTACGGCGTGTTGTGTGTGAGATGCAGGCCCAGGAATTGAGGGGAGGGGGCTGCCTACGGTTGGAGGGTGCGCCGCTGGCGTGGGCGGGTCAGGGGGGGCGGCAACATGGCGGCGCCGGTCAGCATGAAAACAACAGCGTTAACAGTTCAACAGCCAGCGGCTGGCTCCTGTTTGGGATGCTCGCAACGTGGTCTTTGTGTCCAGAAGGGGGCATGGCAGCAGGGAGCAGCGTGCGTGCAGCGCCTCTCTGCGTCTGTGCGTCGGGTCCGGCACGTGGGCCAGGGCAGCCGCCATCAGACCAGCAGGGAGCAGTGGCCGTCGTTGATCACCTCGTCCAGATCCAGCTGCTCAAACTCGCCTGCGGAGCACACGGCAGGTAGGGAGGGCAGTCAAGCCGGCAGGTGGTGAAGTTGAGCATGGCCAGCGGGGTGGAGGACGCGGCAGGAGGGAGGCATTTCCAGGTAAGACAGGGAGAGCACTGCGCCGGGCCCCAGCAAGGAGCTGCAGGGCAGGGCCCAGCTGCTCAGGCTGCATCTGGACCCACACCCACCGGTGGCATACTGGACGCTGCACGCAGGGCAGGGCAGGCACACAGGGGCGCGTGGTCAGGACCTTGCCAGCACCCGACATGCTGGCCCCAGCACACCGCCTCAGCGGCATGGCTGGCAGCCCCAGCACTGCCGTCACGCGGGCACCGGCGCCAGCGGTTGTAAGCTAAGCTCACTCTGCCTTGCGCGTGTCTGTGTATATGGCGTTGAACTGGATGAGGTACCACTTGCCGTCGTCGGGCCAGAACAGCTCCGCCTGCCGCCCAGCCAGCGCCGGCAACACATCCTCGTGTGTGAGCAGCCGACCCGTGGGCAGCGGCTGCAGGCGGGGCAGCGGGGCGAGGGGCAGGGGAAAATGGGGGAGGTGAGGATGAGGATGCCTGGTGGTGCCGGGAAAACACCCCGCGCCGGCACCCTGCTACTGCTTCTGCTCGCATGGGCCCCGCAAGTGCGGCCGGTTACTGGAATGTGTGCAGCTACGCCCCGCCTCCACACCCTCCCAGGCTGCAGGCCAGCCCACCTGGTCCGCTGCCTGGTAGCCCGGCCGCACAAAGGGGTTGGGCTCCTCAAAGGCCGCCAGCGCCGCGGCCGAGGCGGCGGCCGCCGCGGCCGCCGCCGCCGCGTGCCCCGCCGGCTTGGGCTGCTTGCGCTTGTACATCTTGTTGCGCGCCACGCGCCCCGTCACCACCTCGTACACCGTGGGGTGCTGATTGACCAGGGAGAAGAGCTCGGCGCGGCCGTCGGCGTCAAAGCGCGCGGCGTAGAAGAAGAGCAGGCTCATGAGCCAGGCGTCGCTGTGCACCGCGCACAGCGCCAGCCAGTCCTTGCGCTCCATGCCTGGCCGGGGAGGGGGCAGGGGGCGGGGCAGGCGGAGGGGAGAGTGGGCCGGATGCGCCCCGTGGCAGAATGCGGCATGCTGCGCCAGCTGCGATCTCTGCCGCACGCGCCCCTGCCAGGACCGCCCAGGCCCTGCCGCCAGCCCCAGCCTGGGACCAGCATGTGTGCCCCTATGCCAGGCCCTCTTAGCCCTGGCTGCAGGCTGCACCGCATGTGCCTGCCACGCCAGGGCGGCTCACCGTCGCGCGCAAAGTTGATGCCCAGCACCGGCTCTGGCAGCTCTGGCGGCACCTCCTCCACCGGCAGGTCCACAGACCAGTTGCCGTCAGAGTGGCCTGAGGGCAAGGGCGGCGGCGAGCGCAGCGCATGCTCGGTGGCAGTGCGGTGTGTGGCGCACGCCAAAGCTGCAGGCAGCTGGAGGACACGCAGCACATGCCCAGGCATGGATGGGCAAGCTGCGGCTGCACCGGTGCCTGCTCCTGCACACCCGTTCGCTCACCGTACAGGCACATGTTGTCCCGCTCCGGGCTGCATGCCGCCCACAGCTCCTTGGAATCTGCACACAGGGCGGGGCAGCGATGGAGGCGGGGTGGGCGGCGCTGGGCGAGGCGTGCCGACAGGCTGTCGCACTGCGTTCCCCGCAGCTGGCCCCGCAGCATGCAAGCCCTCTGACAATGCGCCGAAATCCAGTCTGGCGCTGAGAGCACACAGGAGTGTCGGGAAATCCGCTTGCTACCAACACCATGGCTGCTGCACAGAAATGACCGACACCAGCTGCCAGCCACGCACCGTCTATGAGGGCCAGCAGGAGGCCTTCCCGCCGCATTTTGTAGTCATCGTAAATGGCCTGCAACAACAGAGGTGCTGGTGGTGGGTGCAGGCAGCCAGTGCACCACCACCAGCCCGCCCCGGGTCGCTCCGCAAGGGTAGCAGAGCCTGGCGGGGCGGGAGCGCAGTCCAGCGCTGGCCCTTCTGCAGTGCCCCCTGGCTGCCAGAGCCGGACTCCAGCTGGCGTTTGTAGCCGCGTGAGCGGGCAATCCCAGACCACACGGGACACTGCAGCTGTCACGGTGCGGGAGCCCTGCTGGCGACCAGGCTGCCCGCTCCAACTTGCAGTGCGCCGCCAGCAAAGGCTGCGGCAGGCGGCTGCCCGCCGCATCAGGGCTTCAATCACCTCTACTGTCTTGGGGATGGGCATGGTGGCCGGGCTGCGTGTACGGCTTGTCCTCCTGGCCTGTAATTAAATCCTAGCGCCCAGGTGGAGGCGGGGGGAACGGTGGCTCTTTACACGGAGAGGCCTGCTGTACAATTTGCAGGACGGCTCCTTTTGAGGCCGCCCCAGCATTGTTTGGCTTGGCAGATCTTCACCGGCGTGCTCTGATTCATTGTCGTTTCCAAGGCTCTGAGGCTGGCATTTTTTCGGTCGCCGCTGGGCAGTATGGCTGGAAGAGCGCCCCGACTGTCAGGCCTGCAGGTAGGCCGTGGGGATCCGCTGCATGAAAATGGCGATGCGCCATAGGCTCTGCTGAGGTGCCCCAACCAGCGCCGCCCATCACCAGCCCGCCTCCGGCTGCCGTGGCCGCCTGCCGCCCCTCGCTGTCTGCCCTCGTGCAGAAACAAGTTCTCAGCCTATATCGCAGCGCGCTGCGGCTGTCGCGAGCCAAGGAGCAACAGGGCGGCGAGGCGATAGCAGTGCTTGCGCGTGCGGAGATTGAGAGGTGCGGGACAGCCGCCGCCCTGCCGCACCAGTAGCGCTGGTCAGCTGCCTGCCCACCCGTCGACAGCTCCACTGGCATGCCTGGCCAATGCCTGCAGGTACCGGTCTGTGAGCCGCAAAGACTACCAATTGATCGAGCACTTGATACGCAAGGGCAAGCGGCAGTTGGAGCGGCTGCAGTCTCCCGAAGTGACGGGCGTGCGGCTGCATCATCCCGGCCAGTGATGGCTCCTCCAGCCCACTAGTCGCAGCATGCTTGTGCAGCCATTTCATTCCTCCTTTGCTTCACCCTTCTGCTCCGATCCCTCCCATTTCATGCTTGACCAATCTGCCGCTCTACTGTCTTCTGTGCCCCCCTGGGCTCCCGTTCCCTGCTCTCGACAAGACGCCACCACTCGCTCCCCAGCACTCCACCTACTCCCCTGCCCCCATTTCACCAGCCTGGGGGTTTTCTGTTACAAGCCACGTGCTAATGCAACAGCTCGCTGCCTCCCAGCGGGCACGTCCCGCAGCAGAGGGAAGGGGTGCGGCGCAGCGCTTCGCCGGAACGCGGAGCGACAAGGGGGGGGTGCATCGTCATCACCTAACAAGGACCAATTGGCATGCAGGCGAGGCGCAGCGCTGAGCGGCCGCCTGCAGGCGCGGAGCCCAGTCCACACATCTCAGCCGCTGGTGGCAGAACTGGCGCAGCGCTGCCGAGCCTGCAGCACGCGACGCAGGTTGCTGCACCCATGGGCGGCGCGCGCCAAGGCGGCAGCCAGCCGCCCAGCCGCTCAGTAGCCGGCGGCGCCAAACTCTGGGGCCGGGGCGGGCGCGGCGGCAAAGGCGGCGGCGTCGGCAGCGGGGGCGGGCGCCGCCTCGAAGCCGGCGGCGGCGTCAAAGCCGGCGGCGGTCTCAAAGCCGCCAGACGGGTTGTAGCTGCGGGGAGGGGGCGGGGAGGAGCACGGCGCCGGCGCTCAGAGCAGGCCGTGACCCCTGGCTCCGGCTGGAGCTGCACCCTGGCTGCGGCTGCTCTCCCTGTGGCCCCAGCAGGGCCCCCCCGCCAGCCCTCCCCACAGCCTCTTCCCCACAGCCTTCAGCCACCACACCCCTTCCCCACAGCCACCCCCGCCCCACCCACGCACCCGTAGGCATCGTAGCCCTCCTCTGCGCCCGGCAGCGGCTGGGCGGCAAAGTCGGCGGCGTACTCGGCGGCGGCGGGCTGCTCGCCGCCCTCCTCTGCCTCCTTGGCCTCCTCGGGCTCCCGGTAGAAGAACATGTCCACCATGGTGTCCCAGGGCTGGGACGCGCTCACGCTGCCCCGCATCATCAGCACCATGCGGGTGAGCAGGTAGTAGAGCACGCCGATGGAGTGCTTGCCCTTGTTGTTGGCGGGGATGGCCACGTCCACGCCCTGCAGCCGCGCGCACAAGGGGGGGTGGGCGGGCGGGCAGGAGAGGGGTCAGCAGGCACCGGCGGCGGGGTGCCTGCGCGGCCGAGCCCAGCCCGTGGCCAGCCCCCGGCTGCTTCCAGTCTCCGCGCCGGCTGCG